TCACACTGAGGTTAAGAAGCTGTGCTAAGCATGAAGAGCCAGCTAGATTGCCCGGCTTATAAAAGCACTTGTCAAACAAGCTTGATAACCTGAGTTCAGTCCCTGGAACCCATGGAGAAAAGAGAGAACTGACTCCTGAAAGGCGTAAGGTTGTCCTCTGACCTCTGCACACATGCAATCGCATGCACCTGCATATATCTACTTACATACATTCAGGACACACACACACACACACACACACACACACACACAAATAATAATAATAAATTAATTAAAATTAATTTGAAACATTTTTCAAAAGAACCTCAACACACACACACACACACACACACACACACACACATACACACAAATAATAATTAATTAATTAAAATTAATTTGAAACATTTTTGAAAAGAAGCTCGTGTACTTCCAGAACACACTGCTTTTGCAGGTATGTGAAAAAAATCAGAGTGGAAAAGGAGTGAGAAAGAGCCCGGCTCAGAGCAAGGAGAAGCCAAGCTTTGATTCTGGACGAAAATGGAGACTCACCACTGCCCCCTACCACCTTCTTCATGTAACTGCAGTCTCTGGACAGCGAATGAAATTGCAGTTTAAGGTTTTCAGGGTCCTTTGAAATCAGCTTCTGTGATTGCCTCTCTCTCTTTCTCTCTCTCCCTTTCTCTTCCCTTCCCTACCCCCACACTCACACACACTATTAAAGTAAAGATAGATGAAAGGAAAACGTGAATGGAGAAAGTTCTGCAAAGGGATGGGACTGCCGATTGGATTTCAAGATGGATGGATTCTTCTTTATTTGATTCTGCTGCCTGTATAAACCACCCCTGCAGCATTCTTTCATCCCATAAAATAAAACATTTTTCACGAGGAGTCATATTTACAGACTGTGGCCAAGCTGTGCACAGAACACAGTCTTTACTTTTCAATGTGCTCACAGTGCAATGTGAACAGTGTGTTTCTGTCTTAAATCACAATATGCCCATAAAGCCCTTGCATCTGCTCAAGCCTGGCTTCACCGAGAACTTCCTACCTCACATTGCACACATACCCATTCCCAGGTCCCTCCCTAAGACATACAGGTTTAGACACTCTGTAAGAGGGGTCTAGGGCACTGTGCTTTAATATAACATCTTCTAGTGAGTCCAATACAAGGGAACATTTGAGTCATCAGTTAGAACCTTCCAGAAGGCAAACGACACCTGTGGCATGTAAGAGACACCTGCCATGTACAAAACACTTTGCTGTTCTATTTGGAGTCAAGGCCAAGGACACGGTGGCTTCCTTTCCTTGCCAAGATTCTCTTGTCTCTAGAGCTCCACACCAAGCGATGTGGTGCTTAGAGGATGGGTACTAGCTATTAGCTGAGCAGGGAAGCAATTTAAGGGTCCTAAAGCACCTCAGATAATACCTATGGCTTTGGATGGACAAAAGCCAAGGAAGGTTCTGGGTAGGCACCACACCTGCCAAAGATAAATGTGCTCTTCCAACAATTTGAACCAGGCTGACAGTTCCCAGGCCACTGAAGTGCAGAAATGGAGCTCTAGCTGGACTGACAGGTCAGCCTTGCTGACCTCTGATCTTCAGGGAGCTTCAGGTCCCTGCCAGACAAAGTGTGACGTCTCCTTATCCTGATACCTTAAAAATACAGATTTCAAATTCCCATCTATGAGCAAGTGAGCTGGACTCCCTGGGGCAGGACCCTGGCCTCCCTCAGTGATTTCTAAGCTCTGTCTGAATCCATTGCTACTCTGGGGACTTCATCTTTCCAAGCCCCTTGGAGACTATAAGCTTCTTTTCGTTTCCAGAAAAAGATAATTGTAAAGAATGCTTTCCATGGCAAAGACCTTCCTAATCCTGACAGTCAGAAGTTCTTTCTGCTGTCTAGTGACCTATATCCATTACTATGAATTGGATGTGACATGTTCTCATAGGCTCGTGTGTCTGAAAGCTTGGTCCTCAGCTGGTGGTGCTATAGATTCCTTTTTAAAAAATATTTTGTTATTACTTTTATTTTATGTGTTTGAGTATATTGCCTAAATGGATGTAAGTACACCTGTGTCATGCAATGCCCATGGAGGTCAGAAGAAAGCCCCTGGAACTGGAGTTATAAGATGGTTGTTAGCCATCATGTGGGTTCTGGGAATCAAACCCCAGTCCTCCGCAAGAGCAGCCACTTCTCTTAACTTCTAAGCCATCTCTCCAGCCCTACATTGTATATTCTTTGGGAGGTGAAGCCACAGTGGGAGTGGGTGCTGGAAGGTGCTAGAAAGAGGGTCTTGGGGCTTATACCCTTACCTATTTCTCTTCTCTCTCCCTCTCTGTCTCTCCTGGTCTTCTGAGATGTGAGCAAGTTGCTGCATGATGTCACTACAATGGAGCCACTCACAAGTCATACCTTCCCCTTGGTGGACTGTGCACACTCCAACCATGAGCCCAAATCAGCCCGTCCTCCCTTAACTTTCTCCTTTCCAGATACTTGGCCACGGTGACCAGAAATTAACTAATATATTCATCATGCTAAAATGCACAGTTCTCTGAATTTCTGGGAATGTGGAAGAGACAGGTTGAGTGCCATGGAATCCCCACACCCTCAGAGAGAACTGAGGTCCAGAGGGAACAGGTCTTTCAGGAAGCTGGGCAAAAGTCCTGGGCTCTAGCCCAGGCTCTAGCATTTGACTTTGTCTTCTACCTTGCCCTGAGGCTAGTTTCCAGTGGACAGCATCTCGGGCAAACACAGTAGAGGGAGATGATGCTCCTAGATGCATCTCCTCCTAGTTCAACTGTATCCAGGGCAACAAGGGGAGGCGAGCCCTGGGTCTTTCTGGCAAGGCCCTGGCACACTCTGAGGCTGGTTTCTGACATCAGTGGTCAAGAGCTTGTCCAAGCACACCTCTTTCAGGGCATCCTTTCCCTCCCAGGACCCAGAAGTGGATGTGAGGAGGAAACACTGTGGACTTCTCACTCACTGCAGCAAAGCAACCCAGGGATCCCAGCCCAACCTGGGGAGCTGGGAACAGGGAGCATGCATCTCACCTAACCAGAGGAAGACCAGACTCCCCTAGGAGTCAGCCTCATTTCCCCTGGTCCCTGTAGGAAGACACATGCAGTGCAGCTTGCAAAGGGGAAGAAGCAGAGGCTGTGGATGGAAGCCTGTGCCGTGCTGCCTGGAGTTCCCGTAGGGCAGCTTTGGGGGTCTACTTTGGGTAGACCTCTCTGGAATAAGCTCTGCCTTCTGAGGGCAATCACAAACTCCTTCTCAAGGAAGGTGACTGACTCAGAGCCTGGCATACAGAAAGTGCTCATTAAATGCAGAAAACACATGGGTCAGAGTCAACCTAGGGCCACATACTTAGCAACCCTGACTTGTTTCTGTCATCTCCATCCGCAAGACAGGATGGGGTTGAAATGACACACCTGTACTGAACAGGAAGTCTAAAGATGAGGCTAAGACACATTCTGACAGCTCAGTAGGACTCACTGTTTCCAGGATCCCTCCAGGTTCCACCCTGCACTAGGCCATTCTAAATTCCTTCTCTGAGGCCTGGACATGCCCTCCCCCAACAGGCTGCAAACACACAGCCTTACCTTACGTTATTTGCAGAGAATCATATTTAAGTGTCCAACATCCTATTTCCAGTTTCTTGTTTGACTTTTAGGCTGCCAAAGCTATAGACCACCTGGCACCTTATGGATCATCTTGTCTGTCGGTGAGGTGTGACCAAGCCTTTTTCAAAAAAATAGAATAAATGAGACTGTAACGTCTCCAATAGAAAATCTCAGTGCTGCATGAAACACAGGCATGAAACATTTCCTGAAACTTTGCTTTAAGTTGTACATCCATGTACATGCGTAGAGACTGCAAAGAAATACGTGTTTTTTCTGGTGAGTCGCAATCACAAAAGGTCTGAAAAACATGGATCCCAGTAACATGTATTGTCAGCAAAGACTGATGTACAGAAAGGTAAAGCAGATAGCTTCTGGTCACACAGCAGGTAACTCCAGTTCTTCCTGTCTCTTGTGTCAGTGTCCTGTATGCAGAGGTGTATCCTGGGTGAGGCTGGCAGGCGCCACAAGAGAGTCCCCAGTGCTACCAGTTCATCCCAGATAGGACCTGGCCTGATCATCAAGCAGGACTATCTATGGACTGAGGATGGCCATGAAGGGGCTAGAATGGTTATACACATGCAGCTTAGAGTGGTCTTGATTTTCATCTCAAGGACTGTGAAACCAATTAGTTAATTAGCCCTTGAGCACTTCCTGAGGCCACTCTCAGAAGGAGGCCAGGCTAAGAGCCTCTCCAGCACGGGCAGTGGATATATTCTCATTCTCTCTTTTTCTTTCTCTCTCTCTCTCTCTCTCTCTCTCTCTCTCTCTCTCTCTCCTTCCCCCACCCGTCTCTGCAGGAGAGAAACCTGCAAAGGAGGCTCTGTTGCTCTGTCTGTGAGAGCAGCAGGCCAGGCAGGGGAACTACCCCTCCTTAGGGGACAAAAAAAATCACCTTCCTGTGTGGGAGGGGCTACCTGACTTTGCTGTGGCTCCCCCAGGTCATCTGCCATCAATGCTGGGGTCAGAGGTGGAACTAATCTTTACTATTCACTTTCTAGATGGGGAAACAGAGACTCAGAGGGGCCAAGAGGCAAGTAGGTGTTCTCGCTTCCTGTCCCTCTCTATGTCTGACTCCTGCCTTTGCCATTTAGAAGCTGTGGATTCCTGGGTGGTTCTGTGTCTTGAATCCTTTATCTGTGGATGTGGATAATACTAGACAGTCCCAACTTCAAGGGGTGGCTGTGGTATGCAAATGAGGTAGTGTATATAAAGTATGTTGAGTAGAGCTCCGCACATACAGTGGGTACTTAATACGTGTGAGGACCATGCCTGCCACAGCGCCCTGACTCCCATTGGCAGACAGTGACAAAGCATCATATAATGATTCTGTGGAGAAACAGGAGAAAGGGTACCATGTTTCTGGTTTCATCACACTGGTGGAGATGGGCACCTACTTTCGGAGTGCACACTCTAGCTGGTCCTTCTCCTCATGGGCTTCTTGTAGCTGAGCAAAGATGGTGGTGAGGAGATCTTCGAAGTTGGACAGTAAGTGAGGTTCGTCTTTCTTCAGCTGCAACCACAGTTGCCTGACGTCACTTTCACTGCAAATAAAGGAGGGACATTACTGGGGAGTGGGCAAGAGATGATCTACAGGAAACAGGGGGATCCAAGACAGGAAGCAAACAGCAAGAAACCATATCTTTTTATCCACCATAAAATTGATAGCAACTGTAGTTTTCTGGGTGCCTGCTGGGCATGAGGTGTTTTCTGTACACAGGTTCCCTCTGTCCACAATGTGACCCCATAGACAGGTATACTGTGCTAAGACCACTCTCTGGTAGGTGATGCAGTCCATGGTCATGCCTGGAAAGCCTGACTCCTGTGCTGACCACTTGCCTACCTTGCTCTGTTCCCCACCTTCTTTGCGACTATCAGGATGGATCAGCTGCACTGAGCATGTGCTAGCATCTCAAAATACTAGGGATAGAGGCTAGGTGAGGACAGCACTGCAGAACTGGAAAGAGATTGTTGTCCGTGGGAAAGATGTCCTCACTGCTGAGAGGTAGCATGCTGTCTGATGGATGGTAGAATGCAATTGTCACCGCAGGGAAGGGAGGAGAATGCACAGCATCCTGCTGGGGCTTGGTGGTACCAGGAGTGACTGGCAGGAGAAAGGAAGGGAAGGAGGGGGTCTAAAGGATGTGGGCACACAGGTAAACAAACAGAGAGTCAGGAGCTCAGAGGTAGAGACAAGATACAGGGTGACAGGCCACAAGCATCACTCAGAAACAGGCACACAGGGGTGTGTATATACCCAGTAGAGCCCTGAGAGACAGGCCATGCTGGTCCTGTCACCAATGGGAGGTGGTGGAGGAGCTGTAGGGTGGACCCAACTCTCTCTATTTTCATTTAAAAACCTACATACAGTCCATGGAGGCTGGGGAGATGGTTCAGTGGTTGAGAACACTGACTGCACTTGCAGAGAACCTAGGTTCAGTTCCCAGCACCCACATGGCAGCTAACAACCCTCTGTAACTCCAGATCCATAGGCTCTGTCACCCTCTTCTGGCTTTCATGGGCATTGCATGTATGGGTACACATGCAGGCAAAACACACATACATATAAAATAAATTAATTAATTAAATAAATCTATAATCAATGATTAAAGCACAGATTCAATTCATCCCCCATTAAATCTTAAAAGCAACATGGTCAGAGGGCAGGGTCAGGAATTCCCAGGATAAGGGAGAAAAATCCTCCAGATGGATATGACAAGCATGGAATTTCCTCAGAGGGCTGGGCTATGTGAACCCTGTTCTCAGGGCATAGACATTGCTCTCTTTATCTAGCAAAGATATCCACTGGAACAGATCTGTTTCTCCTTAACTGTATGGTCAGCACCTCTTTCTTCCTTTCCTTCCTCTTTCGTTTCCATCCTTTCTAGTCTCTAGCCCATCCAAACATCTCCTCATTGAGACCACCCACTGGCCTACCCATCCATCTGTTCATCAGTCTTCCACTCACATCTTCCCTGCCACAAGGGACTCAAAGTCTCTGAAGCCATGAGTCCAAACGAATCCTTCTTCTCTTACGTTGTTTCTGTCAGGTCAGGGTGATAGGAAAGTCACTAATCCAGGGCAAGTCTTTCAACTTGTGATGAGAGTTAAGTCAGAGTTCACTAATCTGCAAAATCTCTCAAGTAGACCTTCAAGAAAGCTGGGGATCCGGATGCCCAGTCTACCACTTCTGGAGGTCAGCCCTCATTGGAAGATCAAGTGGTGTAGGTTAGAGGGGCTCCAAAGAGGTCAGCTGGTCCATCTCTCTGCTTCTGCTTCATCTCTGCTGAGCAAAAGATACCTCTGAAGTCATCACAGCCTGCTTTGCTTTTATTTGGGGTCCCACAGTCAAGAGCACATCCCTCAGGCTTCAATGTGAGCGTGTCAGTGAGAATGGGAATTTTCACCATCTTTATGCTGACTTTTATAGATATAAGTCCTCAGAGTGACATGTGGTAAGTGTTGTTTTGAGAACCCTTCAGGAAGGTGGCCTCCCTCAAAGTGAGAGACAAGTGGACAGTCCTTGTCATTTGTGACAGTGGCTTGCTCTTGGCACTGCCATCTCCATCTTCCTTCTCCAGTAGGAGCCTTCACAGAGTCCCTGGCAGTGGTCCCTGGGCTCTGACCTCTTGTCCCAGGAGAAGCTGAGTCAGGTGTCTGACTAATGAACTTCCCCCATAACTGCCTATGTCCCTGTCCCCTGAATCCTGCCTGCAAATCATCCTGGGCCTGCTCACAGCTGCTGTTCCTGCCCAGTGACTGGTCGCAAGTTTCACTTTCTGTCTAGGGCCTCCCACTACCTAGACCCCTTCCTGGACATTGGTCCCTCCCCTTCCTGCCTGGCACACCCTTTTGTCAGCCTTTCTCACCTCTGACATTAAACCTATCTATTGTGAGCAGGCTGGTTCTCTGCTGATCTTTACCAGATCATTTCTAGCATGGGTCCTTCTTTTCCCATGCTCAGAAAATATGGGTTCCAATCATTAGACAAATAAAAGAGCTAAAGATGATGGGAAAGGCGGAGGCCCTCTGGCTGCTCTCTATCTACTACAGCTGTTATTGTGTTATTTTATTTTATCTTATTTTACTTTATTACTTTAAATATCAGAGCTTAAGATCACATCTATTCTCTCTGTCTCTCTGTCTCTCTCTCTGTCTCTGTCTCTCTGTCTCTCTCTGTCTTTCTCTCTCTCTGACTGTCTCTCTCTCTGTCTCTGTCTCTGTCTCTCTGTTTCTCTGTCTCTGTCTCTCTGTCTCTCTGTCTCTCTCTGTCTCTCTCATCTGTCTCTCTCTTTGTCTCTGTCTCTCTCTGTCTCTCTGTCTCTCTCTCTGTCTCTCTGTCTCTCTCTGTCTCTGTCTCTCTCTGTCTCTCTCTCTCTCTCTCTCTCTCTCTCTCTCTCTCTCTCTCTCTCTCTCTCTCTCTCTCTCTCTCTCTCTCTCTCTCTCTCTCTCTCTCTCTCTCTCTCTCTCTCTCTCTCTCTCTCTCTCTCTCTCTCTCTCTCTCTCTCTCTCTCTCTCTCTCTCTCTCTCAGCAGTGCTGGAGACGGAACCCTAGGCATTGCACATGCCAGGCAAGCTATACCACTGAGCTACGTGTCCCTTACCAGTCCCCAGTTCATGGATCTCTCTATTCCTTTTTGCTTTTTGGAAAAATAAAGTTGGGATATTGTTTTATTTGAAGTTCTAGCCATGTGAGATTTTCTGCAGTACCATTGATCATCAAGTGGTAGACTGGTAAAAACTGGCTAGTTTCCCACCTGATCTTCCTGAACAGTTTGCTGGCTCATGGATGCAAGATGCAAAGGCTTCCCTAGGAGTAGCCTTTGTGTGGCACACCACACATGGGGTTGTTGGGACCCACTGCAGCCATGGAAACTGGATCTGATGGAGGTGTGTATTCAGGAAGGCCTTAGGGAAGAAAAACACCCAGAGGTCCTGAAGCTGGCACTGTTCTTGGATACAGAGCACCCCTTGGAGGATGAGTAGATCCAAAGTCTGTGATGATAACATTCAACAGGAAGTGAGGAGTGTGGAGAGCAGAGCCGTGGGAGACAGGCAGACAGGAAGCGTGTAAAGAAAAAACAAAACCGCACAGATAAGGCCTGATGCAGACAGGGCCCAGCAAAGACTGGAAAGTGAGGGTCAGAGCAGTGTCATGTACAGGCACTGGCACACGAGTTGAGAGGATATAAACCACTATCGGGGCAGAGGAGCAGGATCTCCTGGGCTCAGCTCCATCCCTAAGCCATTCACTACTCACTCTTCCAAAACCTTCTGGGCTCCAAGTCTGTCCATCAGCATCTGGAACTGTGCTTCCTCATCATGGTCCAAGTCTCCTTCATCCTCATCCTGTTTGGATTGGTACACCTTCTCCTCTTGGAGCTGGGCCACCTGTTCTCCAGTTTCCTCCTGACGTGGGTTGTTCTGACTGAAGAAGAAGTGACCTGGGAAAGCAGAGCACAAAGACCCAAATCAGATATCCTCACTCCAAGAAGGACTCAACTGTCTATGCCAGGAATCATTTGAGGTTCATCCTAAAGAAGCAAAAAGGGGAACCCTCTCATAGCAAAGGTCAGGGGGACTGAGACCAGACTGTGTCTTTTGTTATTTTGTTATTTGTTATTTGTTTTTGTTTTTGTTTTGAGATAGGGTCTCCCTGTAACCCCAGCTGGCTTGGAACTTGTTATGTAGGCCAGGCTGGTCTTGATTTTACATAGATCCACATGCCTCTGTCTCTTGAGTGCTGGTATTAAAGGCGAGCACCACCACACCAGGCTTCAGACTGTGTCTTTTGAGCTTCCATTATCATCCTGGAAGGCCAGAGCCTGGAGAAGAGGAAAATAACAACTCCTTGGTGGCTCTCAGCCCTCCAAAACTGGATGAGGAACACGTCTTGGAGGTTATAGTTCAGTGGTAGAGCATTAAATGCTTAGCATCACCAAGGCCCAATACCATCACAAAAAGAAGAAAAAACATCTCTTTTCTGGTTCCTGCATTAAGGAGTAAAACTGCCCCCTCCATCACTCTTCAGCAGCCTGGCTGTTTCCATCCTTACCGCCCCCAGCAGCGTCACAGCTCCCCAGTACACGTGACTTACTCTCCACTCACACCGTCTGGCATGACAGCGATCTGTCACATCCTCCAAAGTCTATTACAGGCTCCCGAAGGTCAGGTAAGGCATCTGATATGTCTAAGGAGATTACACTGTCCCTTGCAGGAGGCAGATAGATGGGAGAATCAGCCCACTGTTTCATCTCATCCCATGGCAGTGTCTGAATTCTTTATCGTGTTCACAGATCTTTAGATCTATTTCCTGCTAGTCACCTTGAGAATGAGGTTATTCAAAGCTGCTAGAAATGTCCCTTGTAGCTGCAATCTCTCAACTCAGAAGACTCAGCTGGACTTGGACAGAGCCACCCCGTCATCCCACTCTTTTGTACCCCTCCCCTCTTCTTTTTATCAATGCAGGAAAGATGGGACTGGAAATCTTACCACAACCCTGGCGATGCTAAGCCTGCCTGAGCTTCCCTATGCTTGCCATGATTGTAGGAGGGGCCTTGGCAGTGACAGCACGTGGGCAGGAATGATGCAGTAGTATGAGCAGTGAAGGTGGCATGTAAACAGAGCCCCAATGATAATCTACACTCTGAAGCCTCCAGCTCTGTACCCCCAAGCAGAGAGCAGAAAAGCTCCTGAGACACAGTCCTCAGAGGTGGAGGGAACAGGGACACATGGCACAGCTGTAGGGAGACTTCTAACCCTGGGTCCTCAGCACCCACCAGAACTTACTAAATCCAGTGGTGAACTCTTCTGGGGTCAGAAAGCCATTGCCATCAGCATCCAGGGCATCAAACACTTCCTCCAGTTCCTCCAGGCTGAGGGGCAGCTCCTGATGCAGCCTCTGAAAGCAATTAAGACCACACTTGTCAGCACATGATGGTGATGGGGGTTAAGAGTTTGGCCCAAACCTACAAAAGCCAGGAGCATCCTCCTCCCTAGCATATGAGAACAGAGGTTATCGATTGGGTGCCAACATTAGACACTTTGCTTTTTTTTTATATATATATATATCCATATGCACACAATTCTCATGACACTCTTTTGAGATAGGAATCTCCCATTTTGGAGATGAGATTTGTGGCTGGAAATATGGCTCAGCAGTTAAGAGCACTGGCTGCTCTTGCGGAAGACTGGGGTTCGATTCTCAGCACCCACATGACAGTTAACAACTGTTCATAACTCCGGTTCCAGGGGATCTGATGTCCTCTTCTGACCCCCATAGGAATTGCACAATATGGGTCACTTACACACATACAGGCAATAACTCATACAAAATTAAAATGATAAAATATTTTTTTAAAAGATGAGGTTTGAAGTTAAGTTGCTGGCTCCAATAAAACTTAGCCAGGAGTCAAATCCAGTTCTGACTTAAGAGCTGGCACTATTGTAGGCCAATGCTGTGCAGGACTGAATGGCTATAGGAAAATTCCTCTATGGCACAGTATTCTGAAGTTAAATGAGATCACAGACGGGAAGCTTAGGACAAAGTGCCTGGCATTGAGAAACCATTCAATCAAAGTAGGGGTTGGGGTGAGTTGGGCCTAGTGCTGAAGACCTGTAATCTCAGCATTCCAGAGGCTGTGACAGGAGAATCCCAAGTTTAAGGCCACCCTGGGCAACTTGGTAAGACTCTGTTTCAAAATAAAAGGGAAGGCTGGAGAGATGGCTCAGTGCTTAAGAGCACTGGCTATTCTTTCAGAGGACCTGGGTTTGGTTCCTAGCACCCACGTGGCAGCTAACAAATGTCCTTAATTCCCGTTACAGAAGATCTGGTGCCTTCCTCTGGCCTCCATTGGTATTATAGGCATATGGTACACTTACATACATGCAGGCAAAACACTCATACACATAAAATAAATAAATATAAAAAGATTAAAACAGGACAAATGATGTGGCTCAGTGGTAGAGAGCTTCCCTGACCTGCATAAGGCCCTAGGTTTGAACCCTAATACCTTTCACCCCACAAAAAAGTGGTGGGAGAGGACAAAGACAGGGAGAGACAGAGAGACCCACTGAGCCAGCATGGCAGACTGGGTTTAGTGGTTTCACATCCTGGTCTTTTCTCCTATACCTCTTCTTCCCCAAACCATGCTACCTCTGTTGGTGTGGGTCTTCCTGGTGGATGTTATAGGTTGGATTCCGAATAAAAATCACCAACACCATTTGATTGAAAGCAGCAAGGTAAAGTTTTATTACGGCCGACCGGGCTGTCTATGTCGGGAATAGAAGCAGCCTCAAACACCAGTTGGCCAGAATATTTATAGGACTACAGAAAGCAGAACAAGTGGGCCAATCAGGTTTATACAACACAGCAAAATTTGAACATAGCAAACTTCGAATTTACCAATCAACTATTGGTCATTGTGTGGACATGGGCTTGGGTAAACGAAGCAGGATAGCAGAAGCAAGATAAGTGGTTAGTCAACTGCCATCCTAGATTATAGATAAGCAAAACAGGTTTAGATAAGCAGTTAGTCAACTGCTGGCCTAGATTACAATACCCTGTGGCATGCGGTCAGGCCATTTCTTGGAATTCAGAGTTGCTTCTGCCTTCTAGGTATGTTTTATAAGTAGAGTAAAAGGCATTTCTTCTAAAATGGCTGCTTTGGGCAAAATGGAGTAACTTAGGCTAGGTTAGTTTAGCTGAGATAGTTTAGTGGAGGCCCTCCTCTCCCTGGGTCTTAGCCCTGCTCCAGTAAATTGCTATGAACACACTTTGATCTTCAACTCTAAGGATGCTGAGTAATCTCCCTCATGATTCACATGTCCCACAACTGCTCCCTTTAGCTCCGGTTTGAATGTGAAATGTCCCCCCACAGGCTCCAGTGATTGAGCTCTTGGTTTCTGGCTGATGGTCCTATACAGGAGGTTGTGGGACATGGCAGGTGAAGGTGGGTCTTGGCAGGTTAGCACTCAGAGCACTGACAGTGTGAGGAGCAATGTGGCTGGGCTGTTGATATTTCCCTCTGGCATTTGCCTGGTGTGCAATGGCCGCAGGTCAAAGCAAGAGTCCTCTTGTGACTTAACAATCCTTCTCCAAGTGAGGACCCACTAGAGGATTTTGTTACCTCTCAGCTGGTCATCCTTCTTCCTTCCAAGAACCTAAAGGCCAGCTGCACAAACTGCTTCTGTGAAAATGACTGACAGCTGAGCAAACACAGGGCTTTGTAGGAAGGAAAGTGGACATGAATCTGGACAGTCAGAGCTGGCAGGTGTGACAGCCCAAATCACAACTGGAGAGAGCACTTGGCCCACAGGCTTCTAGCTGATTAGCCATGAAGTGTTGTTTGGCAGGTCTCTGCATTAAGGGTGTTTAGGACTCATTACCAAGTGGGAAGAGAGGCTGATGGGAAAGCCATTTGGAAGACCTGAATTAAATACGAATGGATTTCTCAAGAAAGGAATGCAAAGCCTCTAGAAGCTGCAGCTGCAGAGGAGCCTGGGTGACAGCAGCCTCTGGTTCATTAACAGTCCATAACCCAGCTGTGGCAAGAGCCACTGAGACACTGGGGGTAGGAGGGTGTGATTTTGTGATTTTGCCAGTAGGAAGTGTATCAGCTCCATTGGAAATGAAAGTCATTCTCACCTGGAAAAGGATAGAACTTCTCTGGCTCCCATCACAGCCAGATTCCAGTGCTTAAAAGGGATAAGACTTCCTCCCTTCCTCCCCTCAGCCTCCTGTCTGGATCTGACAGAAACTTGGTAGCTTGGGGTGTGCTGAAGCTAGAAAGGAGGAGGAGGGAAGCTCCACAGTCAACAGACCCTCAACCTGCCTTTTACCCCCTACACATATATGAACAGCCATATGTGATACCATGTCTCTTTCCAGTGTGAACCAGGGCAGGCTCTTGGGACTCAGGCTCAGCCACCTCCCTGAACCTAATGATGCTTTGCTTCACAGATCCCCATGTTGTCTCTTCCCAACCCCTCTCTTCTACTATCTCAAGTCAGTTTCCCTTTGTTGGTGAAGATAGAAAAAGCACGGTCTGTCTCTGGCTACTTCTTCTTCTGTCTTTGGAAGTCAGAGCTGCCTGATCTCCAGCCTCCTCTGTATGCCTCACTATACCAAATTCTTTTCCCTTTTTATTGTTGATGTTAGCTCTACATGAAAAGTCTAGTGTGTTCCTCCTATAATTTCCTAACCATCTGGTTAGTCTTTTCTTTAAAGATCTTATTTATTTTTATTTTGTATGTGATTGCCTGCATGTATGTATCTGTACCATGTGTACCTGATGCCTGAGGAAACCAGAAGCCACCCTTGGATCCCCTGGAACTGGAGTTACAAAGTGGTCGTGCATCACCATGTGGGTGCTGGGAAGCAAATCTGGGTCTTCAGTAGGACTAGCCAGTGCTCTTAACTGCTGAGCTATCTCTCCAGCCCTGAAAAGTCTTTTAGTCTTAATAATCATAATTATTTCCTTATCTTTCTTCTCAGGAACCCACAGAGCCATGTGAAATCAATTTATTCTGGTCTGGTTCCTGGGAACCTGGTGGTATCTATAGTTTTAACAGGTAGAAGGGTAGAGGGCATGGGATGACTGGCTCCACTGAACAACAGGCCTGTGAGCTTTGCCTCAGGAGGCAGAGGAGATTAGAGCTGGGATGAGGAACTCGTTTCCCATCTATATTTGGGGCACAACATAGCAGTTTTCTAGTGTGTTCCTCCTATAATTTCTTAACCATCCAGACCTCTTCCCACCTACCACCAGCACCACAGTTAAAAAGTCATCAAAGTCAGAGCCTCGTTCCCAGCATTCCCAACAAGCGAGGCTTGGTCACTGGTGCTCAATAAACCAGTTAAAGGTGCTGGAGAGATGGCTCTGTGGTTAAGAGCATTGACTGCTCTTGAAGAGGACCTGTATTTGATTCCCAGCACCCACATGGCAGCTACAATAACTCCAGTTCCAGGGGAATCCAAAGCTTTCTTCTGACCTTTGTATCCGTGGGCATTGCATGACACAGGTGCACTTACATATGTGTAGGCAATACACTCATACACATAGAATAAAATAAAAAAATAAATAATTTAAGAAATAATTAAAAAATAAACCAACTAAAGAAACAAGCCTTTGTGAAAAACAGAGAAAGGAGATTAATTCAATTGGGAAGAACAAATAAAGGGATCCAGGGAGCTGAAGCCCATCTTCAGGGTCCTGTCTAGGTTTAAATAGAAAACAAGAGGCATGCGTAATTAATTAGTCTGGGTTAAAATGTGATCTTGCCATCACTGACCCATCATGTTTGGGCAAGGTGGTTTGATGAATTGTCAGAGCTGTGGGAACTTTCTTAGGAAAACAGTTCCTCCTCTGACTGGCACCAGGGTCCCAGCTCTCTTTCCCTGGCATAAGGAAATTCCAATTCCTTGAGGTCTATTTTCTCAATAGTTAGTCTGATAGCTGAACGGAAGGTCACAAAATATCTCTCTTTGGGATGTCTTCACCCCTGCTGGGAAGGTTGCACCACCGCCAAATGGGGTTCTTCAGTGTCATGACTTTAAATTCCACATGGTTGGGAGGGCAGGCAAGGGAAAGAAGGGATACGCGAACAAGACAGCTTGTCTTCCTCCTGCCTGGTTCATGGCTCCTTTGACCCCAGCCAGTGGCTCCTTCACTCTAGCTCCTAGGTGGGGCTTCTCCACTCCCAGGCAGGGTAGAGAACACTGACTCGCAGAACTATGATAACTTGTTTTTCTCATTCACAAGCCTTATCTCAGTTCCCCTTTTGTACACTGGGAGATTGGAGTCCTTGACAAATGTCCCCTCCCTCAGTTAGATTTTACTTTATGTTGCATCTCCAGGCTCTAGCCTAATGCTGAAAACCTTGAAGAATCAGGGCAATTTGGTAAGTGAATGAGTGAATGAGTGAATGAATGAATGGATGACTTATGTGGCTGTGAGTGGTGGCAAATGTGTGACTTGGATCTACAGAATGCTAGCCTAGACCTCACATGCAGCCAGTCCTGATCAGCCCAGCTTCGGCTCCTCAGAAGAGCGCATAACCTAGAGTTTGCCAGGCCTAGAGCACCAAGACCCATGCTTTTGGTTTTTTTGTCCTTCATCTCAGCACATCACGACCCAGCATGGGACAGAGGCAGATGTAGCCTCAGCGCTCTCAAAGATGCTCAGAGTAGCAGGGGAGAAACAGAGGCCTGAACAGGCTGCTGTGGATGCAGAAGAAAGATGGTGCACTGCTGGCCCTAAAGATGGATCTCCTCAGGCTTCCTCTTTAGTTCAGGTGTCACATGAACATCTCTGAATATGTATACCATGTGGTTAGCTGTGTGAGGCGTACTACTGGGCTGTGGACCAGGAAGATACAGGAGTCTGGCTACGATGTTAGCATTTATGTTACATGTATTTATTTAGTTTTAATTTTTCAATTTTTTATTTATTTTGGGTGTATGTGTATCTTAGTTTACTTTCTATCCCTGTGATAAAACACTGGCCAAAATCAACTTGGGGAGGAAAGGGTTTATTCAACTTAGAATTCACAGTCCATCCAGGGAAGCCAAGGCAGGAACCTGGGGGCATGAAATGAAGCACAGACTATGGAGGAATGCTGCTTACTGACTTCCTCCTGTGGTCTGTGCTTAGCTTGCTTTCTTATACAACCCAGAACCACCTGTCCAGGGGTGGCACCACACACTGTAGACTGGACCCTTCCATATCACTCAACAATTAAAAAATGCCTCACAGACACATAGAACAATGGATAGAGGAAATTCCCCAATTGAGGTCCCCTCTTCCTAGAAGTGTCAAGTTGACAACTGAAGCTATTCGGCACAATGTGCATGGTTTTAGGGCTCCATGTCATGTGTATGGAGGTCACAGGACAACTAATGGGAGTTGGTTCTCTCCTTCCACTCTGTGGGTCCCAGGTATCAAACTCAGGTCATTAGGCCCAGCAGCAGGTGCGCCTTTACCCCTGAGTCATCTCATTGCTACATGTATTTTTTAAAAAATATCACAGCCTGGTAAACACCAGGACTGGGGCTGAGATGTGGGACCTGTGCATGTGTTGCTACTCTGGTGGCTCCTGAAGCCCCTTGCTCACCCTTCCACAGACCCCCACCTCAAGTGACAATCCCGAGCTGCCCCCTTCCAGGTCTCACAGTTCTCTGGAGGCTGCACTGGGAGCTGAAGGTAACAAAGGCAGAGGTCGCCCTGCCCAGACATGGACGCCACCTACTAAGGGAAACCCCAAACAGAGCAGCTCTGGGTAGGATGACAAGTCAAGCTTTGCCCTGCCGGGATAACCAAGAACCATGTGGACTTTCCTCAGGGTTCTCTTTTCCTGCTCATCTGCTTCCACATGTGGACAGCCATGGGGAAGACACGGGACTCTGGACTCTGCTCTCTCTGATAGCACTTCTTTCAGCCCAAAGCATTTAGAACTTCAAATGCTTCATGGTCCACAGGTAGAGAAAAATATCAGAGAATTTGCAGATAGGAGAAATCAATATCACACAGGTTCAAGCCTTGGCTTGTCGGCTTGTTTGTCCCCTTTCCTCCTGCCTGGACCAGGAACAAGGATGAAGGAGGAGGACAGAGGAGGAAGGCAGCTGAGCTGGCATCTCTGGGACTTGATATTTCTGACCGTGTCTCAAGTCCAATGCAAGGAATTTCTCTAAAACTGCACATGAGGCTGTGGATGCGACTTAGTGGGAAGAGTGCTTGCAAGCCAGGTACAAAGCCCCAGGTTCAATCCCAAGCACTGTGTAAACCATGTATGATGGTGCACATTTGTAATCCCAGTGCTTTGGAGATCAGAAGTTCCAGGTTATCACTGGCTGCATAGTGAGTTCAAGACCAGCTGAGGATACTTGAGATCTTGTGTCAAAAATGAATAAATAGAGGCTGGAGAGATGGCTTAGCTGTTAAAAGCACTGACTCCTCTTGCAGGAGGCCTGGGTTTGGTTCCCAGTACCCATTACCAATCAACTGTAATTCCAGTTCCAGGGGATACCACACCCTCTTCTGGCCTCCATGGGAATTACATGACATGGTTCTCCATAAATGCAGGCAAAATACTCATACACATAAAATAAAAATAAACAAATAAATATGTACTTGATAACTTAAGCTCTCCACACCTCTCCCTGCACTGGAGAGTGGGTTTCTCTGGGTTGTAATTGTGATGCATAGCAGGTGTGGTGAGGGACACAGTGTGCGTGGCCCAGAGTTGATGCTTGATACATGTGAACTCCTTATTTCTAGAGGGTGTGTTGTGGTTTGAATGAGAAGGTCCCCCAAAGACTCCAAATGTGGTTTGGATATTTTGTCGCCAGTTGATGGCACTGTTTTGGGACATTTTAAGACATGAAGTTGATGGAGGAAGTGCGTCACTGGGGGAGGACTTTGAGAGTTCTTAAGCCTTGCCAAACTTCCAGTTGCTTTCTGCTTCCTGTGCGTGCTTGAAGATGTGATCTCTTGGTTTTCTTCACCATCCCTCCCCCCACCATGCTTCCCCCCACCATGTCTCTCCCCACCATACCTCCCCCCACCATTATGGGCTCTTAACTCTCTGGAACTGTAAGCGCAAATAAACTCTTCCTTCTATAAGTTGCCTTTGTCATAGTGTTTTTATCACAGCAACAGAAAAGTCACTGATATGGGCAGAGTCAAGAGTTAAGCATTTGGATCTGGGACATGAGTCAGTGGGAGACCACTTGCCTAGCATGTATGACATCCTGGGCTCTGTCCATAGCACCATGAAAAGAAAAATGAAAGTTAAGCATAACTTCTTTAAAGCCACCCCTACTAAGCAACACTCGGCACAGACCTCTACAGGACAATTAGGAGGCTCATCAGCTGGCTCCCCCAAACATCCCATACCTGGCTGTGCACACAGAGTGGGGCTTTGGGAATGAGTTTCTACAGCAGGAAGTTACTGGGGAGCCTGCTCCTGAAAACAATGGTGTGTGAACTGTGTAGCAACCATGTGGAGGGACAGCTCCCACAAAACATGAAAACACCATCCGCTGGCAGAGGATGAGCCCCACATGTGACAGCACCGGATCACGAGGCCAGCTCTCTGCTTCAACACCACGCACTCCCGTAAACAAGCACAGATGAGATGCGTAAACAAATGCCTACATTCCACCGTCCAACTTGAATGCATTCTGAGAAGCTAGACTTAGAGAAAGAAAATTTGACCTGGTTATGCAACCTTTCAAGGCGCTCGTGACAGAGTATGGGGTACAAAGTTTGGGGAGCAAGGTGGTTTTCATAGGGCTTTAGTGGATCTGCCTTTCTTTCACTCATATTCAAGCCTGTAGCATAAGAGACTTCAGTGAGAGACCAAGAAGGACCTTGACTTGTGAGTCACCAAACCAGAGATGAATAGACAGTCCCATTTAAACCTGGTCATTACCTAGTTTTGTGTGCAGTGAACTAAGAGCGGCTTTTACAGTTTCAAGTGGCTGAAAAAAAAAATCAAAGGAAGACTCACATTCAGTAACCATATTCAAGCCTGTAGCATAAGAGACTTCAGTGAGAGACCAAGAAGGACCTTGACTTGTGAGTCACCAAACCAGAGATGAATAGACAGTCCCATTTAAACCTGGTCATTACCTAGTTTTGTGTGCAGTGAACTAAGAGCGGCTTTTACAGTTTCAAGTGGCTGAAAAAAAAAATCAAAGGAAGACTCACATTCAGTAACACGCAAGAAATTATATAGCCTTTTAAAACCCTTCCATAAAAGACTTTTTTTCTGTCATAGTGGGACTTGAGCCCAGGGCCTTATAGATGCTAAGCAAGTGCTCTTTAACACTGAGCTATACCTCAGTCCTTTGTAATTTGCTGTTTGTTTGTTTGTTTGTTTGTTTATTTGTGACAAGATCTCACTGAATTTCTGACTGGCTTTGAACAAACTACTCTCCTGCCTCAACCTGCATGTATCACCATACCCCAATTATATGGGTTTATGTGGTGCTAGGAGTTGAATCTAGGGCTTCATACATGCCCAAGCATTACCAACCAACCACATCCCCAGATCTCCATGTCATAGTTAAGTCTCTATGTGACTCTCACCATTTCCCACAATCTTGGGGTAATGCACAGTCGGTGAAGCCCAACAGCAGGTAAGAGCAGGTGTGGAATGAGCAGGGACCAGGCTCCCCACAGGGTGTGTGCTGACAGCCTCTCCAGGGCAGAGACCGTGAAGCCTTTTCTGGGGAGATACCACTCCCACCAGGTAGCCCCAGTCCACAACAAAGAATCCTACACCATGTGGGGCTCCAGGTGGGTTCCCATCTCACCTGCATGTCTGTCCTGGCAATGAAGCCCTTGCCCTCAGAGTCACAGGTCTGAAAGAAATCATGCGCCTTCCTCCACATGGCGCTCTGGGCTGGTACCTGTCCCTCCACCTCCAACATCTCCGGGCGGTCCAGCAACCCCAGGCAGGCTACACTGCCATCCGCTCCTTGGCCTGGTGTCAGGGGACTAGAATCTCTCCTCCCATCTGCAGCAGCCATCAGACCTGTGGATCTCTTCAGAACCTGAACAGGAGAGATGGGAGAGAGAAGTGTGTGACAGGGATGGAGAAAGGCTGGAAAAGAACCCGAGGGAGAAAGGAGAGGTGCAAAGCTGGTCGCTGGAGTGTCCTGACACCTTTTAGCAACATCTCTAATTATTAGGGCTCAGGATGAGCAAGATGTGCAGTCCTATCTGATAGATCAGACAGCCCATCAAACAGGAGGGAGTCAAGAGTGGGGTGGAAACACGTTGAGATTGAAAGAGGTGACTAGAGGACACTTACAATCCCCCAGCTTAAATAAACACAGAACACTGAAACAGACCCTGGTAGACCATTACTTCTTTGGATGCAGGCACTGTTTCATGGCATGATGGACATTTTTTCATAGAATTCTACATCCCTGTAAGATAGATGTTTATCATTTCCAATTTAGAATAAGATGGGTCCATTTTTCCCGTGAGAACAGCTGATGCTCAGAAAGGTTGAGTGATTCATTCAACATCATACAGCAAGTTAGTACAAAACCAGAGATTTACATCCAGGCTCTTCTAACTTGTACAGAATTTGGTGCTGATGATCTCACACTGTCCTACCGCAGCATGGTCAAGGTCAGAGAGCTCCGCTTACTCAGATGTGCTTGTTAGACACCACCCACAATCAGTAAGTGCTGCCACACACCTCTGCCGGGGCTTCAGGCTCTGCAGTTTGCATAGGAGGAACTTCTCCGTTATTAGAGAGTTTTCTCTCAGATTACATGTGTCCAGCACATACAATCAGATCTGAAAGCTCCTAAGAGGGCAGGGCATCTTACTTATTTTCTCATTGCTGTAACAAAATAATCTGACAAAAGCAATTTAAGGAAGAAAGGGTTTGTTTTAGAGCACAGGTGGAGGATACAGTCTACTCTAGCAGTAAGGCAGCACAGAAGGTATGGTGGCAGGAACAGAGGCTGATTGGTCACATTCCATCCACACTCGGGAAGCAGGGAGTAGGTAGACAGTGGGGCTGGGTTATAAAGCCTCCAGGCCTGCTCCCAGTGACCTGCTTCCTCTGGTGAGGCTCCACCTCTTCAAAGTTCCAAAACCTTCAAAACAGCACCACAAGCTGGGGACCCGCCCTTCAAACACATGAGTCTGTGGGAGACAATTTACATTCAAACCACAGCAGGGGACGTGAGGGAATCTTGTGTTAAGATGTAGAAGAAGGTGCCCAGAAACCTGGCATGCAGGCTGAACGCCATTCCTTGATACATGAACTTGAACAAGACAAGACCTCTCTGGGCCTCAGTATCCTGATCTGCACAGCAAAAAGAGTAGGTCCATTTGTCTCCAAGTTCCTTTCTGTCTCTGACAGTCTATATAGGTTTGTGAATTTCCAAAATTGTAAAATGTTCAACAAAAATTTGGGTTAATGTCATAAAAGGTAAAAATACACTTGAAATTTTCCATCTGAAGACATTTTGGAAACAGAACAGGCCCAAATCTTACATAAATGTTAACACTTAAATTTAGCCATATATGTACTTAGAATGAGTTTTGTGGGGAGCTGAGGATTTAATGCCTGGATCATTTGTTGTAAAAAGTTGTCACATCGTATATTATTAGGCTCAGCACTCTAGCTCAGCCACACCAGGATCTCAAAACAATCTGTGATTTCAGTCAACACCTTCAGCTAGCAGATTCATCAGGAGCTGTCAGCCAGATAGCTGGCAGACCTGCCTGCCTCAGTACTGGAACCTGCATCCTGCAAATTACACCTGTCATTCCACATGGTAGACTTGTAGCTCCCACCCAGATAAAGAACAGAGTCCCAGAGGGGTTCAGCAACTTGGGTCAAGGCCTAGCATCACTAGAGGCCTCTTCTGCTGCTCTATTACCTGCCTATGTGAACGCCCTGCTGGGGCTCACTCTCAGCTGGTTCTCTTCCCCAACACATAGCAATCAATTGAAGTCACTTCCTAGAGGCTATTCATCACACCAGTGGGCTCATCTTTAATTCATTCACTTGTGTGTTCATCTACTGATTACCACCTTACCACTCTGAGCTAAGATTGAAAATGCAAGCATCTATGGTATGTGGTCTCTGCCCTTGTTGAATGAGGGTCTCAGCTTGGGGTTTTCAGTAGGAGAAAGCATTTGGGGACAAGTTCTAATTAGTCTACGACTACCTAGCTGGGCTAGCTGGGTTAGCTGCGCTAGCTGTGTAAGCTTAAGTGAGGCTGAGAGGCACTGCAGGGCTGTGTGTGAACAAAGGAGATCTCTTAGTTCCCAATCTGACAGTTGTTGGCCCTTGTCTTCCCTGGCCCATCTCGCCTCTGCTTCTGCTGACCTGGTCACAGGTCACACAAGGGATGAGAGTCAATCTGACATTTCTAACAAAGCCATGTACTTGTCCATGGTACAACAGGCCTGAGGTCTCACTTGATCTTCATCCCAGTCTGGCCTAGAGTGTGGGATATGCCAGCTAAGGAGTGATTGTGGAACCAGGGAAAGCCAATCCTTGGCTGAATCTTCGCAGGGAAGCCCAAAAGGGCTTGTATTTCACCCAGGCAGCTCTATATCTGGGATTTTGATTTTATAATGAGTAAGGCCAGGCCTTTTTCTAGAAAAGTCGGAGTAATCAGGATTGGACTTATCTTCCCTGATGAAACAATCCAAGATCTGGACAAAACATATATATTTTAAATGGTTTTCAAGTCACTAGACATCAGGCAATGGAAAAAAGTGATCCTTTGGTATTGCTAGGGCTATGCTGAGTTGAGTAAGCCCCACCCTAACTTAGGTACAAAATGAAAGGGGGTGTTTACTCTCAGGTACTAATCCTTTACTGATCAGTCCTATGAATGGGTGGGTAGGACAGTGATTACCATCTTGAAGTTTCACCCCAGGGCTTTAGTCATCTCACTCTAGTCCAAGCTCTGTGCCCAAGAGGTGGAAACACACAGAATGAGCCTCGTGTTTGCCTCATCTAGGCAAATTTTAGATTATGGCTCAGTTGCAAAAACCCAGGAAGGTTACAGTGAACTATCTTCGTTGAAGAAACCCACTGATATGCTGCCCACAAGAAATTCACTATAGGTATAAAGACATAAACGGATTAAAAGTATTAATACAGTTTGGAAAAAATATACTCCATTAACGTTAGTTAGAGAACCTGCATATTGGTACTAATGAAGCAGTTATGAAACAAAATATATTCATGGAGATGAAGTCATGTGACTGGTTGTTCTTGCAGAGGACCTAGGTTTGGTTCCCAGCACCCACATGGTGGCTAACAACCATTCATAACTCCAGTTCCAGGGGATCCAACGCCCTCTTCTGTCCTCTGCCAGTACTGCATAACACAGGTACATTTACATACAGGCAGGCATAATACTCATACACATAAAATAAAAATAAATAAAATTAAAAAGAGGTCAGTTCATCAATGGGATACAGCAACCATAAATATTTATATATCGTATTAGTTACTTTGGTATCTCTGTGACAGAACACTTGACAGAAACTACTTCAGGAAGGAAAGATTTATTCTGACTCATGGTTTCAGTTTATCATGGTATATAAGGCAGAGAAGTTTCATGGCAGTAGGAACATGTGGTGGAAGCTATTCACATGGTGGTGACCAAGAAGCAGAACTCAAAGCCAGGCACAGAGGCTGAGTTGTAACCTTCAATGGTCACTCCTAAGATCCTACTTCTGCCACTAGGACCCACAACATTCCCAAATTCACCTGCCCACAAAATATTGTCACATTCTGGGAAACAAGCACCCTAAACATAAGCCTATAGGGAACTTTTCAGATTCAAGCCACAACATGAAGAGAAAAAACTACAAAGAGAGAGAAGAAAATCTGCAATCATACTCAAAGGTTTCAATAACATTCTTTTAAGAGTTAACAACTCTGGCAAACAAATTCAGCAGGGGTACAAAATTGGAAAATTCTAGCTACCATTTTGACTTAGTTGACATTTATAGAACATTCCAGTCAACAACAACTGTATATACTTTCTTTTCAAGTGTTCATACAATATTTATCAAGTTAGTCCACATCCTAAATATATATATTTATATAGTCTCTATATATTTGAAAGGATTCAGTTTATATGTATGCACTCTGACTGCAATGATATTTCATCAAAAATGCAAACCAGGAAGCCTCTGGAAAAGTTCACAATATTTGGAAACAAAGTACACTTCTAAATAACTCAGGAGCCAAAGAACCAATGTAAAGAGAAGATGAAAAGGATTTTGAATTAAATATAAAAAAGCACAATATAGCAAAACGTGTAGCTCACTGCTAAAACAGTACTTATGAAAACATTATAGCACTAATCACATAAATTAATAAGCCAAGGACCTCAGTGTCCACCTTAAGAAACTGAAAAAAAGATGATTAAATTACATCCAAAGTAAGGAGAAGGCAAGCGTGTCTGCTCTTCCCACTTCTACTCCACCCAGTGCAAGGAGGCAAGAAAAGGAAGCAAAAGACATTCACAGCAACGGAAAAGAAGGTTTCTAGGAAAACCGTCTTTGTCATCAGGTAGAATGGTTGTTGTGGTTTGAATGAGAATGCCCCTATAGGCTCTGGGTATTTGGACATTTTGCTCCCAGTTGGTGGCGCTGTTTTGGGAGGTCTTAGAAGGTATGGCCATGCTGGAGGAAGCACATCACTGGGGGTGGGCTTAGAGAGTTCTTAAGCCTTGCCAGATCTCGTCACTCTCTTATGTCCTGTGCCTGCTTGAAGATGTGAGTGCTCTGCTTTCTGCTCCTGCTCCAGCCACCTCCAGCCACCATGCCTCCCTGCCATGATGACTGTAATTCCCCTAGAACTGTAAGCTCAAATAAACTCTTCCTTCTATAAGTTGCTTTGGTCAGTGTTTCTATCACAGCAACAGAAAAATAGAACAGTTGTCTTAGTAAAAGACCAATGACTGTTCTAGCCACAAACCCTAAATATAAAAAGTAACTGAATTTTAGCATACCAGAAATGAAAGTTCAA